TTATCATCTCTAATGGCCTTTTTTCTCCTTCCTTATATTACATTTTTTTTTATAGTGTATGAACTCCACTCTCCTCATAGGCCTTGCATTTACACAAGGGTGTCGGGACTCTCCAGCGCACGGCGTCACCCGGATGACCACATTATTTCCATCCTTTATCTGTCTCTGTTGGTGGCGGTGAGGTCTTCTTTTTTCTAATTTTGTATTTTTATACCTGCTTATTATGCTGCAATAAATATTTAGTATTTTTTCATAAGCCGCTGTTTGCCTTCTGTTGGACCTTCTTGACCTAGGGGCCTCTTTTTGCTTGGTCTTTCTTTCCCTTTACAAGGAAGGAAGGAGGGGAGGGAGGAAGGAAGGAAGAAAAGGGAATAGATAGAGAAGGGAAGGAAGGGAAGAGAAGGGAAGGAAGAAAAGGGAGGGAGGGAATGGATGGAGGAAGGAAGGAAATGGATGGAGGAAAAGAAGGAAGGAAGGAAGGAAATGAAAGGAGGGGAGGGAGGGAGGCAGGAAGGAAGGAAGGAAGGAAGGATATGAAAGTAGGGGAGGGAGGAAAGAATGAAGGGAGGGGATGGATGAAGGAAGGAAGGAATCAAGGGAGGGAGGAATGGAGAAAGGAAGGAAGGATTGAAGGAAAGGGAGGGAAGGAGGAAAGAAGGAAGTAATGATGGAAGGACGAGGAGGAAGGGAAGGAAAAAATGAAGGGAGGGGATAGAGGAAGGAATGAAGGTAAGGAAGAAAAGGGAGGGAAGGAAGGAAGGAAGGAAGGAAAGAAGGAAGGAAGGAAGGAAGGAAGGAAGGAAGGAAGGAAGGAAGGAAGGAAGAAGAAAATGGATGGAGGATGGAATGTAGGAAGGGGAGCGAAGGAAGGAGGGGGAGGGAGGAAGGGAGGAAGAAAAAGAAGGGATTAAATAGATGAAGGAAGGAAGGAAATAAGGGGAGGCAGAGCGAAAGGAAGGAAGGGAGAGAGGGAGGGAAGGAAGGAAAGAATGAAGTGAGGGGGTGGAGGAAGGAAGAAAAGGGATGGAGGGAATGGATGAAGGAATAAAGGAAAGAAGGGAGGGAAGTAAGAAAAGGGAGGGAAGGATTAGAAGGAAGAAGGAAGGAATGAAGGAAGGAAGGGAGGAATGAAGGAAATGAAAGGAGGGGAGGGAGGGAAGGGAGAGAGGAAAGAATGAAAGGAGGGGATGGAGGAAAGGAAGGGGAGAGAGAGGGAGGGAGAGAGAGGGAGAGAGGGGGAGAGAGAGAGAGAGGAAGGGAGAGGGAGAGAGAATGAATCACAGAGCTGTAGAGAGCATATCCTCTCTCCTCTGCTCTGCCATGGAGGATGGTGGGAGGGGATGGACACAAAGCATCAGAGATCTGCAAGGCGGGGTAAGGAGCAAAAAGGGGGGGGGGGGCAGGAGGGAAATCCGATGCACAGTCAGAGATGATCGGTGCAGTGGAGGGACAGTGACAGCACCGATCTCCCTGCATGGATTTCAAGGAGGCAGCTGGAAGTCTTTCAGCTGCTTCATTGAAATTCATGTAGGGAGATCGGTGCTGTCACTGTCCCTCCACTGCACTGATCACCTCCGACTTTGTTCCTGATAGATATCATCCATGGGGGGGGGGGGGGGAGCAGGGTGTGTGCGGTGAACACCCCGTACCCATAGATGATATGTCCGGAACCGTCACCCGACTCACTCTGCCCCCACCTGAAGTGACAGGTGAGCTACTTCTGGGTCAGGATCTGAGACTGCCTCCTCCTCTGCTCCCCACACTGTCACTTGACAGTGATCCTCTCATGGACCCCCTACTGACCTCGGGCCCTCAGACAAGGCCCGAATGCCTGAATGGTCAGTCCGCCCCTGATCTGGTTAACACTTAATATTCTTACGAAAAAATGTTTACGCATAAAACAGCCTCTTGTAAAATGTTTAGTAAATGTTGGAAAATGTGGGTAGATAGCCAATATTATGTGAACGCACTCTCCTAAATTATATAAGATCTATCATCTCAAAATATGGTACATTGGATAGCTTTCTTCAAGAATTTTAAATATATGATAATGCTCTCATCTATATATTTTTATTTTTTTTTCTTTGTGTGTAATAATATTTCCCTGAGTAATAACCATCTGTTCACAATGTTAAGTTGTTACATTCTTGTTGCCTTTGACTTGAAATGTTTTAATTCACAATAAAAGCACTGAAATAAAAAAAGTCCACATTGATTCTCAGATCTATTTTGCAGAAATAATAATACAAGGTGCTCAGCAAACCATGCTAAAATTTCCATTACTGGTATACTCCATTACCCCACAAAATCCTACAGTTTTAAAATGTGTTTGATTATAATGCTACATCAGTAACATTAATAGCAAGTGGAAGTGGATATTTGTTAGAAAAATCACATTATTCTAGGTGATGAGATTTATTTTAACCCTGGAAGTAGACATTTTCAAATGTTTTCAGATTACAAAATGGTAGAATCAGTCAATTATAATAACATCTAAAATGTATCATAAGAAGAGTAATGTATTTGATGTATTAAAGATCACTTCAACATTCCTAAAATAAAAGCACCTTTTGATGATGAGCTCATTCCCAGATCCCTCATACTTCACATGTTAAAGACACATACTGATTCAGTACAATTTAATGCTTTCTACACTCAGGAATGGTTATAGCTTGCTATCAGTTTACTTTCTATACATATTTTTTGACAGTACATTACATTTTATAGGGCTGTAATATGCACCAGTTGGAAAGAACATTTCACAAGAAATGCTTATTGAAAAATTACATTATTTGTGATAAATTCAGCTTCACAATAAGGATCTAAAAGAAAATGAAATAATTTAATGTATAACTTGCAGCTGAAATAAAAAAAATGTGCTGTGGTGTTCTGATACATCACATGTAAATATGTGAATTTCTCATCCTTTTATTGGTTAAAGCCCAAATTATTTCATTTTTAATCAGCTAAATACATGCCAGTTGCATAAAAACAGAAGGTGTACAAAGTCTTGCTTTCATTAGGAAAACAGTAAAAAAAAAATCCTTTCCCTTGCCATTGTGCTAAAGAGAAGGGCTCCTGTTCATGAGCATTGTTTTCCTGCATTTGACATCAACATGAAGCCTTAGATTATGTATGACTGGCAGTTACAATCAACTTAAGGTAATTGTAGAAGCCAACCAATGGGTAGAGATAGAAGAAAAAAGAATGAGACTAAAAAACTGTAAACATTGAGAGAAATGTAATTAAACACAACTGAGAAAATAAAGAGCATAAGGCAAATGATATAATTAAGAAAGTTGAACAAGTTATCATATTCCCAGCTGAGGCAGTCAGAGAATTCATGCAAGGAGGACATATGTTGTAAAATAATTTGTGATCTCTTATTGGTTATCAGTGCACATTGTTTATGTGGTCTGTCTTCAATAATGCTTATGCTTCTGAACATAGCAAACTTCATCAATCCAAATTGTTAATTCTAAAGTTTTCTATACATAATTCAGATTCCTATCTATTTTTGTGGGCAGTTATGTTTGATCTGCTGCAACTTTTCAAAATGTATGGATAATGGAAGGATCTGCACAGTTCTAAACACAGGAGTTTAGGAGCAGAAAACTGCTGTTCACACTACCCAAGTCCTCTAGTGACTTTTATAGTGAGTTTTCTGAAAAACAGTTTAAACATGACAAAATGATTAATATTTGTAATGCATCATTCTGGTTTATTACTGCTTTTTAACAAGCGCTGAGTGATTAAAATACTATTCATACTAATTGCATGATATATAATTAACATTGCATATTAAAGTTAACCTGTCACATACCTGGGCAAGGAGAAACCAAATGCCATAATAATTAGTAGATTCAGGGATTCAGGCAGTTGATAATACATGCAAAACCTTAGTACTTTTGTTCCCCATACTATTCAGTGGCCAATTAGAAGACGTATGGTAAGAAGCTGCTTTTATGTGGGATCTGCAAATTATTTCTGTAGCTTATATTTGCTCAGGTTTCTGACATGCTTACTAAAATATTAGTAATATCAGCTGTAGTTTAAAGGATAAGTTCACCCTTGAGGAAAAAATAATAAATGCATATATTTTTGCAGGGAAAATAGTGCTGGTATTATTTTTTTCCTACAGGTGCCTGCAAAGATCCCCCCCCCCCCCATCCACTGACTCCTGCAGACACTTACCCCAGCTTTATTGAGCAAACCTCTGTAAGGGTTTTCTGTTACAAAGCTGGAGAAAGTGTCAATGAACTTTAAGGATGCTCATCTGCAACCTACTAGTTTGTTGTGAACTACAAGCCATTGCCTTTGAAATATGAGACTTGTAGTTTCTTCATTCATATATTGCTTTTTAAAATTTGACTGCAGTTGCTGGCAGAAGACTCCCTATTGGGTGTCACAGTGGAAAGTGCAAGGGGGGGTGAGCAGGGCATAAGCTGGAACCTGAACACAGGTATAACATGTGTCATGTTCCAAAGGTGAATGTAGTATTATTATTTATGAATGTATAATGCACTTAATGATCCCTATCTGCATTTTTGGTAAAATGAACAGTGGAAAGCAAAAGAACAGCTGAGCAGGTCACTGGTTGTTAATCAGTTCAGGCAAAGCAATGATCATTCTTTTTGCTTAATTGCTCTTTACCACTTTGAACACTCCTCTCCCCTCCTCCATAGATCTCCAGGATAACTGCTCTTGCTGAGTTCTTACTCCCTGATTCCCAACTATAACACCATAGGGGAAGAGATATTATTATTATTACTACACCACTTTGAAAATTATTATGCAAATTCCATTTAAGTGTCACAAAGATTAAATATTTTGTTTTTCAGTTTAACTCATGGATGGCATTGTGTGTCAGGGCTTTTTTGATCACTGAAAATAATCTCGGACACCTGTGATAATTAGATTGGCAGGTGAGCCCAATTTAAGGAAAAACTACTAAAGGAGGGTGTTCCACATTATTAAGCAGAGCACCATTTTCAAGCAATATGGGGAAGAAAAAAGCTCTCTCTCTGCTGCCGAAAATATGAAATAGTTCAATGCCTTGGACGAGGTATGAGAACGTTAGATATTTCACAAAAACTTAAGCGTGATCATTGCACTATTAAGAGATTTGTGGCTGATTCAGAGCACAGACGGGTTTGTGCAGATAAAGGCACATTGAGGAAGATTTCTGCCAGATCCATGCATCGGATCAAGAGAGCAGCTGCTAAAAATACCATTACATAGCAGCAAACAGATATTTGAAACTGCTGCTGCCTCTGGAGTCCCACGGACATCAAGGTGTAGAGTCCTCCAGAGTCTTGCAACTGTGCATAAACCTTCTATTCGGCCACCACTAACCAATGCTCACAAGCAGAAACGGCTGCATTGGGCAGAAAAATACATGAAGACTAATTTTCAAACAGTCCTGTTCACTGATGAGTGCAGTGCAACCCTGGATGGTCCAGATGGATAGAGTAGTGGATGGTTGGTGGACGGCCACCCTGTTCCAACAAGGCTGCAACGTCAGCAAGGCAGTGGTGGATTCATGTTTTGGGCCGGAATCATGGGAACAGAGCCAGTGTACCTGTCACCCATCAGCACACCTGTCGACCATCAGTGTACCTGTTGCCCATCAGTAGTGCACCTGTCGCTCATCAGTGCCCACCAGCAGTGCACCTGTCGCACATTGTCCATCAGTGCCGCCATCAGCAGAGTACCCATCACACAGCTACCATCGCCAGAGTACCCATCACATAGCTGCCCATCAGCAGTGTACCCATTACACAGCCACCATCAGCAAAATACCGTCACACAGTGTACCCATCCTACAGCCACCATCAGCAATCTACAATCTGTCCCAGAGCACTTTTGTGCTTCCTTGCAGACTTAGTGAGCAACAATTTTTGTTTTTTTTTCTTGCAGAGAATATTATCATATATCTTAATTTTTTTTTTTCTTTTTTAGCCAGCATTGATAATAGTTTCTGTTGCAGTACAATAAATTATTTATCTATTTGTGATTGGGAGATTTTTTTTTTATTCTTTCCTTCATATGTTATTGTTAATGTATAGATTTTTTTTTCCTTATACCACCATTGGCTATTATTGTTAATTGTTTGCATAATATTTGGATCTTTCACAGTTTTGCGTGCCACTTTGGTCTTTGTTCCATGGGATTTGACATACTTCCATTCCTTGGAGAATTTAATATCTCAAATTTACCACTTTTTCCTTGAGTTGTTACCAAGTGAAATTCTATTTGTTCCATACATTGGCCTGCTGCTCAAGACACAGTCAGTTTTATCTCTTGATATATCTCTTTATGGACTATTCTTGAATGCATATTATTTTATTAGGTATATCCCCTTGGTCTGATTTGGAATTTAATATATTGTCTTTCATACCATCTTTAGTCCCATTGGGGGGATGTTCTGGTGCCTCTCTGTCAGTCCTTGTCTGATGACTTACATCTGGCCACTCTTGCCCTCTTGGATGATGCACCCCACCGAAGCATGGTGTCCAGCCTCTCATCCTGGAAGTCATCCTTTCTTTTCCTCTGACATATGCTTTTGTAAGTAAAAAATTATTTGGTTATGTGAAAACATCTTTTGTGTTATCTGTTTATGTATTTTTGGTATATTCATTTATGAATGTTTATATATTTATTAGAAAGTCCTTTGTCTTTCATGCCCCCTGAGGAAGATCTAGAATATGGAATGATTGAAACGCGTCTGGTTTTTCTTTCTTTTCCGTGTGGTTTTATATTTTTGTATTAAGAGTTTTCTTGTAAGAATACTGTCAGAGCAATATTCTTTTTATAAATCATGTATTTAACATTACAATGGAAATGTGTATGTAATAAAGTTGATAATCTTTTTTAACCAAATGTCTTTTTCAATATATGTTTGATCCTATTGCTGCATTAACGTCCCACTGGGGGGTTCTTTGGGTACAATGATTGGTACCATAGCTTGTAGACACTGTAACTTTTACACAGACCAAAAAATATAGACAGATTTAGATTATTCTTACTATAGAAATGTAGCTGTATAAATTTTGGCCAAAACTTATGAAGAAAAATGACATGCAAAATTTTTCAACAGAAATGAAAGATGCGTTTCTTTTCCAAATGTTTTAGTTTTATTTTTCATTTATAGCGCAAAAAAAACTCCAAAACCCAGTGCTGATTAAATGCCACCCAAAGAAAGTTATATTTGTGTGAAAAAAGGACAAAAACTTCATATGGGTACAGTGTTGCATGACTGAGTAATTGTCAGACAAAGTATGAGAGCACTGAAAGCTGAAAATTGCTCTGGGCAGGGAGGGGGTATAAGTGCCCAGTAAGCAAGTGTTTAAACATCACAGGACTCAGGTAGTAATCTCTCTTCTAAGGCCATTTGTTATTCAAATTATGATACTTATATCTATTTTTGTTGGAGTATATATTTACCTAACTCTCTTCATCCACCATTGCAGCTCCGGAGGTCTAAAGGGAGCTGATAAGTCCAAAAGCCTTTTCTTCCCCCCCTTACAGCTGTTGTGGCAGTTTAATAGTTGGAGCTTACTACTCACGACTGTATAATTTGCTAAATGTTGCTGTATTGATTATTGCTATTTCTCCAATGATCTATTTTTATCCATTAACTGGGGTTGTATATCTAAAACTCATTATTCTTGTGGTCTACTATTTTGAACAAGACTAATCTAGAAGTGTTACAAAAGAATTGTGCCTCTTGCATTATTATCCTGTACTGTTGAAATATGTCTAAACGCAGAATGTTAGAGGTGTCAGGAGGCTTGAAAAGTCAGGGCAACCACTGGGACAAGCATTATCAAGTGGCCCCTGTGGGGTAGCGCTACACCTATGAAGACAGTTGTTATCGCCTTACTGGAATTATTTCTTGAACTGTGCTAATGCAGCTAAATTTTGACCAGCAGTAACGCCTTTGAAAAGCACTTTATTAGGTCTTAATGAGCACTTGAAACTTTTCTACATTAATTGGGCTAGTTGCTGCTATAAACCCTCCCCAACATGTACAGAATTGCCAGAACATTTTGTACAGTTTGTCCAAAGAGGGTTTTCTGGAGTCTCCACTTCTTATTACCCATTTCTTAGTTTGTCTAATTTAATAATACTTGTTCTGTAATGATGAAAACATATTTTTATTTATCCTTATTTCTGTATGTCTGGAATATACCATGGTGTTAGAGTGTGTGACAGTATGTTAATTGTCCAAGAACAGCTCCAAACCTGGAGTGTTTTCCCTTCTGTGTTGTGCCATGAGTTTGTTAAGTGGTTGTTTTGTCTCCCCAATGTATGTGTTTTTGCATTCCTCACTACCAAAGATGACCTGAACTGCTCTGGGTTTGGTTTGAGCATTGCTCAGTGAAATTCAAAGTTTAGATGCTGAACTCAAACCCATAGAAATCAATGAGAGACAAAATTTCATAATAAAAATTAGGCAAAAAAAATAGGCAAAGAGATGTCAAAAATAACATGAGAGGTGGGCACTGCCCTGCGGAACATGTAGCAATGCAAAAAAAATGTTTACACCTTCCAGGAGCCAGGAGCAATGATTTCTTCAAATGCTTAAAGTGAACCATTAAAAATGCTCGACTCCTGTAAATAGCATGCCTGGGAATGTTTCAATCCTGCCTGTTGAGAGGTGCATCTTTGTTATATACAGAAAGTGCTGCAGAAGTGCTGAAATTTACACAGGAAAAAAGTGAAAGTTGCAAATTACATTTCTTTGTCAGCTTCTATTATTATTATTAATAATAATAATAATGTATCTTAATATATATATATATATATATATATATTTATATATATATATATATGGTTTTTAGGTTACACTGCTTTTTGCAGCAGCAGTAAATCTTCCTTTTAAAAAACTTTGGCTTTGGATTCAGGGGTGGTATTCTGGGGGGTTTTATTCTATATTTACAGAGCCGTATTGTACATTTGGGGTATTTAAAATACAGCATTTGCTTTTTTAGTTACCATCTGTAATTGTAGTTGTTTTTTGTTTGCAAGCAAAGGTGGCAAAGGTTACAAATTCCACAAGTTCCATGAGTGAAGGGAAGTTTAGCTGAGGGGTTTTGGGTATCCTGTACTGTCAGTAGGTTCGTAGATATCTGGATCTAGCTACAGAGCAAACCACCAGTAAGAAGACTAGAAGAGACCCTTCAGGGGTCATTGTCAGTGTTGCAGCCTTACATGGTGTATGTGAGGCTTCAATATTATATAATAATGTGTGGGCATCCCTGGCATTGACTTGGAACCTATAGCTTTTATATATATATATATATATATATATATATATATATATACAGTGGGGATCGAAAGTTTGGGCACCCCAGCTAAAAATTTGTATTAATGTGCATAAAGAAGCCAAGAAAAGATAGAAAAATCTCCAAAAGGCATCAAATTACAGATTAGACATTCTTATAATATGTCAACAAAAGTTAGATTTTATTTCCATCATTTACACTTTCAAAATAACAGAAAACAAAAAAATGGCGTCTGCAAAAGTTTGGGCACCCTGCAGAATTTATAGTATGCACTGCCCCCTTTGCAAAGCTGAGACCTGCCAGTGTCATGGATTGTTCTCAATCATCGTCTGGGAAGACCAGGTTATGTCAATCTCAAAGGTTTTTAAATGCCCAGACTCATCTGACCTTGCCCCAACAATCAGCACCATGGGTTCTTCTAAGCAGTTGTCTAGAAAACTGAAACTGAAAATAGTTGACGCTCACAAAGCTGGAGAAGGCTATAAGAAGATAGCAAAGCGTTTTCAGATGTCAATATCCTCTGTTTGGAATGTAATTAAGAAATGGCAGTCATCAGGAACAGTGAAAGTTAAAGCAAGATCTGGAAGACCAAGAAAAATATCAGACAGAACAGCTCACAGGATTGTGAGAAAAACAATTCAAAACCCACGTTTGACTGCACGATCCCTCCAGAAAGATCTGGCAGACACTGGAGTTGTGGTACACTATTCCCCTATAAAGAGATACTTGTACAAATATGGTCTTCATGGAAGAGTCATCAGAAGAAAACCTCTTCTACGTCCTCACCACAAAAAAATCATCGTTTGAACTTTGCAAATGAACATATAGACAAGACTGATGCATTTTGGAAACAAATTCTGTGGACCAATGAGGTTAAAATTGAACTTTTTGGCCGGAATGAGCAAAGGTACGTTTGGAGAAGAAGGGGCACAGAATTTAATGAAAAGAACCTCTGTCCAACTGTTAAGCATGGGGTTGGATCAATCATGCTTTGGGGTTGTGTTGCAGCCAGTGGCACAGGGAACATCTCACGAGTAGAAGGAAAAATGGATTCAATAAAATTTCAGCAAATTTTGGATGGTAACTTGATGCCATCTGTGAAAAAGCTGAAGTTAAAGAGAGGATGGCTTCTACAAATGGATAATGATCCTAAAACACACCTCGAAATCCACAGGGGATTACATCAAGAGGCGTAAACTGAAGGTTTTGCCATGGCCTTCACAATCTCCTGACCTCAACATAATTGAAAATCTATGGATAG